AGAATTAAAGAGAATGTATTATCACATAAAAAATGAAGCAACTTAAACAACTTACATTGAAAAAATGTTTAATAAAGTAAACAAATAAATATTAAGCTTTTTTTTGTAAATTTTGATACCCTTTAGATCATAATTGTTCTTTATTTCGTAAATTACGGTTTCATATTTTTAATTTTATAATTTCTGCATGCCATTTTACCAGATTTAAACTGATGATCTATAATCCAGAAAAATCGATAATCCGGAATCGCCGAAGTCCCGACGAGTCCGGATTAACGACTTTTGACTGTATTTCCATTTTTATGTTATATCCTTGTTTGATTTAAAATGCAGTTTTTTGAGATTATGTAGTTTTTGTTTTAATTACATTTTACTGCATTATGATTTGGACGCCATTTTACTGGGGAGGGCATTGGACATAAACAGGAATGGCGAAAAAAATCGCCAATTTTTGCCAAAGGGTAGCCTGAAATATATTTTTACCATAACAGATTCAAAACTCATTTTTAAATTGGAATTTGGTTGATCTTTACATTATGGTAACTTGGCGTTTTTTTTGGCGAAAATTTGGCGACCAACTCTCCTACAGCAACCCTCTATTTTTTTTTTCCCGCCGCCATTTTGTCTTCACGAAGTAAAGACATGTTTCTTTTCTTTTTATCTACTGAACACTTCTTCCAACAATCTACTAGCCGAATTACACTTATGCTAGAAATTTTATCTAACAAAACTGCTTAATCATGACAAATATTCACTGCAAAATTGGGAAAAAGTGCACAATACCATACTCCTTACGCGTTTTTCAAAATAACACATACACATAAACCATGTACACGCCGACTTATTTTTACTTAAAAAAACATCCCAGAATTGCACAAAAATGGCATTGCGCACACTCTTCACTATATCCATGTACACTGCTTTTTTCTCATAAATTAGAAAAATTTCACGAAAATACATGACAATTTTCTCAATCTTTAAACCCGGTAAAAAGAACATATATGAAATTACCTGATCGCGAAAAAGTATTTACCCTTTCCAAATATGAACATTTCCACATATAAAATAAATAAAATATCCAAAAACTTTTACCTCTAAATCATCTATTACATTATACACGTCACCAACGAATTCATACCGCAAGCATTACAAATACTTAGTATCAAATATTTAAATTATTTCCATGCACGTTTACTTCAACTTAAACGTATACCAAATTCCTACAAACATAAAATTCACAAAATAACTATCATTTAATTAAAATATAATTAAATTCAAAAACACTACTTAAAATATAAATGAGCACATACATTAAATTAATACATACATAAATACCCATTTCGAATTCACTTTAGTTACGGCCATGGGATCCAAAAATTCACGAACACTGTTTCACACAACACAGAATAAAGCCAAATACAAAATTTCCAGATTTTTTCCCGATTTCCCCCCTTTTCCGATTAAAGAACCGTAATTCGTCCATTAATATCACATGACATATCCCATGATCTCTCATTTCCCTCACACAAAATAATGCGTAATCGGAACTGAGTACTGCTCACATTATTACCAAAGTCCCAGGTAGTAACCTTTATCGCCTCCAAAATGTCGCCAAACTACCAGTTACCATATTGTAAAGATCAACCTGTTACCATATTCCAAAGAATCGCAACTTTTTTTTTTATAGCTCACTATTACTAAGACTAACATAATACGGTTGAGTCTAAAAAATATAAATAATAAATATGGTTGATCTTTGGATTATGGTAACTTGGCGATTTTTTAGCGAAAATTTGGCGACGAACTCTGCTACAGCAACCCTCTATTGTTTTTTTCGCCGCCATTTAGTCTTCATGAAGTAAAAACATGTTTCTTTCCTTTTTATTTACTGAACACTTTTTCCAACAATCTACTAGCCAAATTACACTTATGCTAGAAATTTTATGTAAGAAAACCGCTTATTCATGACAAATATTAACTGCAAAATTGGGAAAAAGTGCACAATCACAAACTCCTTGCGCGTTTTTCAGAATAGCACATACACATAAACCATTTACACATCGACTTATTTTTACTTAAAAAAAATCACAGAATTGCACAAAAATGGCATTGCACACACTCTTAACTTTATCCATCTACACTGCTATTTTCTCATAAATTACAAAAATTTGCACGAAAATGCAAAAAAAAAAATCTGTGAATCTTTAAACTCGGTAAAAAGCACATATATGAAATTACCTGATCGCGAAAAAGTATATACCCTTTCCAAGGATGAACATTTCCACGTATAAAATAAATAAAATATCCAAAAACTTTTACCTCTAAATTATCTATTATATTATAAGCGTCACCAACGAATTCATACCACAAACATTACAAATGGTTACAAATACTTAGTGTCAAATATTTAAATTACTTCCATGCACGTTTACTTCAAATGAAACGTATACCAAATTCCTACAAACATTAAATTCACAAAATAACTATCATTTAATTCAAATATCACTAAACCATGTACACGTCGACTTATTTTTACTTAAAAAAACATCCCAGAATCGCACAAAAATGGAATCACACACTCTTCACTATATCCATGTACACTGCTTTTTTCTCATATATTACAAAAATTTCACGAAAATGCATGAAAATACTCAACGTATTCCAAAATACTACAAACATATAACTCACAAAATCACGATCATTAAATTAAAATATAATTAAATTAAAAACCACTACTTAAAATATAAATAAGCACATACATTAAATTAATAAAAATTAAATTACAATCCTAATTACTTTAAACTAAATCATTGCTAATAACAATTTTCCAATAATACCATATTAATTTATTTACTCCTTACATTTAGAACAATGCATAAAAATAATATCCTCAAATGATTAAAAATACTAACTTACCTAATCTTCAGAATCTTCATTACGTGGCACACACACACTTCCACTATTTCACACAACACACAACGAAGCTTAATACAAAATAATATAGTACTACAGTTATCCAAATTCCCCCCCCCTTTTTATGATTAAAGAACTGTAATTCGTCCATTAATGTCACATGACATATCTCATGATCTCTAATTTCCCTCACACAAAATAATGCGTAATCGGAACTAAGTACTTCTCACATTATTACCAAAGTTCTAGGAAGTAACCTTTATCACCTCCAAAATGTCGCCAAACTACCAGTTACCATATTCCAAAGATCAGCCATAAATATCAAATTCATAAAACACTTTAGTACCATATTTATTTTTAACACTATGCTAGATATGAAACATATACCAACTAGTAACACACAGCAACAATACAGAATATGCAAATAAGTTATGTAATATTTGACTATTAAAGCTCCATCTAATGTCGGGTTCCATAAGTATTTCGATATTCTATACAATTATGCAGTTGCACACAAAATATGTGATAATACTAATAAAGAGCTAAAAATTTCTTTATTTGTGAAGAAGTTTCTAAAGGAAACTGACAAGAGTTTATATCACATAAAATGGAAAATCACAATTTATTCATGTAGCTGGTCTACTCAAGTGCAGAGACCAAAACATAAGATTATCTATCAAGTGTTCTGTCACTTTAGACTCTTATCTAACATTACTTAATAAAGGAAAAAATTCAATTTTTTCTGGTATTGATATCATTTGAAATGGCTTTATGCAAATCAAAACAAACATGAAAGTTTTATTTTTCTCTTTTTTTTTTTCCTTCTATTTATTCCAAACACAATAATTTTTACAATATTCAAGCTGCTGTGCAATTTTATAACACTCAAACAGCATATGAACATCAGAATGTGGTATTCATACTCATGTGTCCTGTTCATTATAATAAAATTTGAATGCTGAATGCTTTATTCAGACAGTTAAAAAAATCCAAACATTTTTAAATCAAAGAAACCAAACACACTTTACTTATGATCACTGCAAATAAAATGCTTTGGAAAACAAATTTGCTAAAATAATAAAACACAAATGAATGTAATTTACTTAAAATTAGAAATAAAACTGATTACAAAACATTATAGCTAAGTGTCTTATAATTGAATACATACTTTAACAAACAGAGAAAAAAAAAAGAAAGAAAAAAGCATTTAGAATCTAATTAATTCACCATAAGCATGAACTGCACTTTACAACCTGTTAAATCAAAATTTATAAGTTTATCTAAAAGGTAAAATCCTTTCAATAGATATAATAAATCTGGTGTGACATGTGCTCAGCTAAAGCCACTAATGTCATCAAGTAAATTTTATTGTTCAATAATAATTTTTTTTTTTTTTTTTTTTTTTTTTTTTTTTTTGCAAAAAAGGTATAAAAGAAGCTACATATAATCAAACGTGTACTACGTAAAATATAATTATGTAACTTACAGACATAACAAAAATTGTTTTCACAACTATTTTTGTCTAATTACTAAGTAGCTAACTTCTGATAGAGAGTTCTGTTTATTTAATTTTTATTATACACAAGCATGTAAGGAATTCACCTATAAAAAATTTGCGACACAGAACTAAATTAAAAAGCTTTCTTAACCCTCCTCATCTGCATCTGTTATTGCTATTATATGAAATTAACTTTTCCTAGACTTGGCAGTATCCATGCACATGAAAAACTGAAGCCCGGTTAACAAGTGAATATTTAACAGTATAAAACCACAACCTTTGAATATTTGATATATTTTATTTAGTTTAGTAATCAGAATTAATAAAATCACTAGCAGCTATTCGCCATATTATTGCATTAATCACAAGCTGCTACAAAATGGAGGTGTTTCTAATTTTTTTGCATGAAAATAATCATCTCTTGCATTAATTACAATGGCAGAGAAACGTATAATCTTGCAAAAACTAATTTACTAAATATTTAATGATAAAATTAACGGATGAAGCATGACAACATTGTTATAAAACTATATTTTCATTTTAAAACATATCCATGAACAAAATACGCAATTTCAGTAAACACAGATACCTATTTTAGACTCCCGCCTTTTCCATCAAAAATAGTACTTCGAGTGACATCTCGCGCCCAGGATAGTTCTTTAGCACTGGCAAGGCCAACTTATACTCACTTGGCCTCGGTAAGGCTTTAGAGGAGCCTTAGGCCTTGGCTCTGTTTTCGAAATTACTGCATTATCTCTTTACGCGGAAGTTGCCCAGAAAAGCGTTCGGCTTTCATTTTAAGAACTTTCGTTGACATGAATCTTTTTGACAGTGACGCAAAGCTGTTTCATTCAGATAATTTTCAAGTTTGCTTCAAAAATAATGAAAAAGTCCCTTAAAACTTCTAACAGGCTTAAGAAGAAATGAACCACATGTTGCTTAAACATTAAATGTTTGCAATATTTGCGGGTGTAACTAAAGATCATTAACAAAAAGGAAAATAAAATTATAATAATAATATACAGTGTCTCAAAAAAGTGATGGGACACTTGTGCTTTACAAAAGGAAACTGCAATAAATAAATTTAAAAAACATGTAAAATTTTTTGTGGGTGTGTTTCATACTTAAATTTAGTAACAATTATTACATAAACATATATTTTCTCAAATATTAAAATATTAATTTAATAAAAATACAATTGTTTAGAACGGAGCAGAAAATGGTTCACTTAAGTGATGGGACACTACGTACTATGCAACAAAAATCGTCTGAAGTAAACAATAAAAATAAGCAATATAAATTTTACTCAAAAACAATTGCCAATAATTTATAAAATCGTCTGCAGTATTTCTCTCCAGTTTGTTTTGGAATTTTTGTGTTTTTTAGCTCTGTGCAGCCATGAATGCTAAACGAAAAGAAACTTTGCCTGGAATTCGAAAATTAGTTATTAATTTGTATATTGAACGTGGAAAATCTATTAGAGAAACTACTGAAACAGTTAACTTCAGTCATTCAACAGTTTTCAATATCATTAAACGATATAAAAAGAATCATATGATTCAGGATAATAGAAGACCTGGCCGACCATCAAAGCTATCCAATGGAATAAAGCGAATTATCGTTCGAAATATTAAAAAAAAATCCAAGAATGAGTGCTCCTAAAGTTGCTGCCTGATTTACAAGCATTATATGGAGTAATTGTTAATTCCTGAGACTATTAGAAGAGTAATTCGATCTGCTGGATATCACGGTAGAGCAGCCAGGAAAAAATTCTTCGTAAGTGAAAAGAATAGAAAACTCAGACTGGCTTTCGCAAAATCCAACATAAATAAGAATTCTGATTACTGGAATGAAGTTATATTTGCTGATGAGAGCAAATTTAATATATTTGGTTCTGACGGTAGAATCTTGGTGTGGAGAAAATCCAGGGAAGAATTTCGCAAACAGAACTTGGTGCCAACAGTAAAACATGGTTGAGGAGGAGTTATGGTATGGGGGTGTATGTCGTCCGCTGGAGTTGGTAATCTTGTTTTTATTGACAGTATAATGGATCAGTACAAGTATATTGACATTTTAAATCAAAATTTGAAATCTTCAGCACGAAAATTGAACCTTCATAAAGATTTTAAATTCTACCAGGACAATGACCCCAAGCACAGTGCTTTGAACGTTAGACTCTGGCTGCTGTATAACTGTCCTGAAATAAAAAACACCCCACCAATCTCCACAATTAAATCCCATAGAGAATATTTGGCAAGAATTGGAATCAAGAATTCGCAAACACACCATTTCTTCAAAACAACAATTAAAATCGGTGCTTCAAGAAGAATGGGGTAAAATCACTCCAGAAATCACAAAAAAAATTAGTCGAATCCATCCCAAGAAGATTAAATCATGTTTTAAAAGTAAAAGGAAATCCAACAAAATATTAAAACCTTTTAAAAAGTAAAATTTTTGGATAAATATTTGATGGAAAAGTAAGTGTCCCATCACTTAAGTAAGCCATTTTCTGCTCCGTTCTAAACAATTGTATTTTTATTAAATTAATATTTTAATATTTTGAGAAAATGTATGTTATGTAATAATTGTTACTAAATTTAAGTGTGAAACACACCCACAAAAAATGTTACATGTTTTTTAAATTTATTTTATTGCAGTTTCCTTTTGTAAAGCACAAGTGTTCCATCACTTTTTTCAGACACTGTAAGTACTAATATTCTTGAATAACTACGTATTCAGTTTATTTCCTATTCATCTGTTCAACATATGCAAATTTGGGAAGTTACGTTCGAGATGTAAAAGAAAAACCAGTTAGAAAATATATAGTATTAGAAAATATACAGTATTCCTAACATATTTCTCTTAATAGCAGCAATCGATAAGGAAGTAAATGAAAATTCTCCAAGCGGACATATTAAGCATTTACTAACACAGACCCAATCGAACTTTTTTCGAGCATTTTGTTTCCAAGGTTATAACGACTTTCTCCCATTTGCGATCATAATGTTTGTCGTCATAGCCGCACGGAAGATGTTAAGGAATTTTAGACGTTAGAAATTGAAATCTCAAAATCCATTCATACTTGTTGTTAGTCTAGTTATGAGACAAGCCAGACGGCGGAAAAAAGAAGCAGCGGCGTAGTTAGAGCTTCTGCCGCCTGGAAAAGGTCTTCGAATTTGCCACACTTCTGGTTACACAAACAAATAACTACATTAAAAAAAAAAAAAAAAAAAAAAAAAAAAAAAAAAAAAAAAAAAAAAACCGAGCAACAAAAATAAAAAGTCCTAAAGTCTTCAGACTGTAATGGTCACGCGGTTTCTTTTAAAGTTTAATATGGTTTTTATCAATTTAAAGTGTCGATAGAGATGGTCCGGGAGAAATAGAGAAACATTTTATAGGTTTCTAGATGACTGTACATGTACTAGAATAACATGTGAATGTCATGTATCTACAATATATCTAAAAAAGAAAAAATTGCATAAACTCATTTTATAAAAATATTTAATTTTTTAAATTAGATATTTTGCGAAATAAATGCATTTACAAGTATATTTAAATGAATCCAATTAAAAATTTTAAAAAAATGCTAATGTTCTTAACACCTGCATCTGTTGCTTTGTGCTTAATTTGTAAGTAAGTATCAAATAGATTCAGTGTCAAACATCTTACATGTTGCTGAATGGCAGCAGTTTCGAATGAAAAATGAAATACTCAAACTCGTGTTTCGGGCCTAACAGCTCTTTTGGGCTAAAAATTTAAAACGGCATATGGGGAAACAAATTAAAACCCTATGCTTATTTTTGAAGAAAAATTTTAATTCCAGAATTTTAAAATTATACCATTACTATGCTTCTTTCTTGTTCTCAAAACATTCCATAACATCATAGAAGTCTATTTGACTGCTGCAGTTGATGTAATGCCAGAACAGAAAGATTACTGCAATGCCAAATAAACATTTACAGATCTAAAATGCTTTCTAACAACTAGTAACTCTTCTCACAACTAGCAACTCTTCGTCAGACCTTAAATTGCGCCGGCGCCCACCGGAGATCCGCTCCGGCGCTTCTGAATTTTTGGGATCGATCATAATTCTAATTGGAGCGCACCGGAGCCCTAAATAAGAAAGCTCTGGAACTTCTTTAATGTAAATGAACAATTTCAGCATTTTAATAATAAAATTATATTAAAAATTGATTCTAACTTCTGAATGCATGCTTTTCTTTCCTTGGGAAACAAACCCTTGACTAGAGGTCGAGACTTAAGCAAGGAAAAGCCCCATCCACATGTCAAAGGCTTAGTCTCCCGAAAGTAAAATGAATTTATGGCAGGGAGAAAATTTTTCGTTCCAACGCTAGTGTCATCCAGCGGAAAAGAATACACTTTATGGAGACTTCAGACTTTATAGCGCAAAGTAACCAAAGACGGGGGATGAAAATTGCCACTTGTTGCTTTTCTTTTTCAACTAAGGCTCGGATTGGGTGAAAGTTTTTTCCCCTGTCATATTTTGCTTGACAGCTAGAATTCATAGTCAGAAAATGTTGAGACCCTTTCTCTTTTTGTTTTCATACCTACAGGCCATCCATTAAAATTTTCTCGATATTCTCTTACTGTTTATAACATTCTTTCTAGTTCCATTAATGAAGCTTTAACTATTTTAACGTTTTTCATTGGTCTTTATTTCTATCATCCCTTAAAGTAGTACATTATATATATAACTTAAACTAAACCGCAGAACAGTTGACTATTTCTTATTTTTTGTGTGAAATTGTAATTCTTGCCGAAACACCAAATAAATCAAGTTCCAGCACTTTATTTTAATATTTAGTTGTTTACCATTTATTTAATAACTTATTATATTTTTATTTATCCCTTTACATTTTGTTGCATATTTATTGTTTAATTATTCTAAGCATTAATTATTTAATTTTAATAATTAATTATTTTGTTGTTTAATTATTAATTATTTTACTACTCATTTTATTTAGTTATAAAATTTTTTATCTTCTTTCCTGACAGTTTTCCAAAAGGTTCCGGCAGCATATAGGCATTCTGTATCGAGCCATACACATGGAGGAAAATACCTCCTCGTGATTGGATTTGGCTTCCGATGACATAATTTCTTCTACGTTTAGAAACGCCTTGACTTTGCTTGGACTCGAGGGTACACCTCCATACCATGTGTTTACAATTTGATAGCAGTACCGTAAAGATTATTACGTGCGTTGTATTTTTATTGCTATGAGATTACACTTTTTACAACACAAGTGTGGTGAACTTAATATTAAAAAAATATATCAGTTTTTCCCCCTAGAGAGAAAAAGTATTATTTCTTCATGTGCTAGCTACGTAAATGTGTATTAATTGCAGACATTTTTAATAAATGTATTCTTATACACGTGTATTTAATTCAGCGACAATACTGAATGCACATTTTTCTTTGATTTAAGGCAAGAGAATATTAGAAATCTGAAAAACATAGACATTAACATGGAAATAACATAACATTTGCAAAGGAAATATTTTCTGCAATATGAAAGGAATAGAATGCAATAATAATAATATACTTACTAGCCCCCAATGCCTTTACAGTTAGATCGAGATCGTCATGTTTTGGTTTTTGCGCTAAATTCATGAACTCATCTATTTATGAAATCTAAGCGCTTAAGATTGCTTTTGATATAAACAGTATCTTTGAAAGATTATATAATTTTATTATTCCATGAAACAGAAGAAAACAAACGATAATTTCCCCGCTTCCGTGCCACTCATGCGCGGCATTCAAAGAAAATAAAAACGTAAGAATCCGGCCTAAACGTTATTATGCCAAGAGAAAATGATGTCATCTGAAAGTATGTCCAATGAAAGTATGTACGGGTTTTTCCCTATGCGCGTGGCGCGGTACAGAATGCTTATATGCGCTC